GAGTTATTTCACATGCACTTTTCATCATTTGACTTCTAATCTCATCCAATTGATCTCGTATGATCTTTAATTATCATTTCATGGTTCGATTCAACTATTGAATATTTAAAGTTTGTTCTCCGAACTTTGAAAATTCTTTTATCGTTGATTTTTGTTCCTTTTTTTTCAATTTTACTTTCAATTATTGAGTTTTACCCAACAAACAAAATATATAATAAATTAAACTATAATTAATCAAAAGTACTCCTAAATGTCTACATTTAGGTGTCTAAATAATTTTACAAAATATATTTACCAAATACTCTCAAATTTGAACATTGTTTGTCCTCAAACAAAACTATAACATATCTCAACAAGCGAAATTACAAAAACTTTGGTCAGAAGATTAGAATTATTATGTCTACTATATGAATAGCTTCAAAATTACAATACAAAAATTTATTTCTACTTATTCAATGCAAACTGATGTAAACGTGTGAATAATTAAGTAAAGTATCATAATTCACAATTTGCTTCAATTTTCGACCTCAATAGTCAAATTTATCATTTTTCACTCGTGAGATAGGCATCATCAAACTTATTCTTTTAGCTTTATTTTCAAGGTATAATCTAATATTGAATTTATATATTAATTATCACCCTCTTTAATTTGGATTTATTTCACTCACTGTAAGTCAATATCTTAACAAATAAATATTCTCATACATTTTGATTATTTCAACCTCTAAAATTCAACTAGGCTACTAATCACTTCTCAGAAGTATGATTGTCTCAAACAAGTGTTTGGGGATTAATCATATATATAGTGCGTTTTTTGTTTCACGCACACTTTTTTTCTATATTTGTTGTGCGTCTTCTGTTTAATGCACTAGCTTTTTCCCTTTTTAAGTTTTCCTTTTAGAATTTTTAATAAATGCTCTCTTTGAAATCTTTTATAGGGTAGGTTTCACTCATGTACTATAGTAGCTTTTTTTTTCTTTTCTATACGATAATTAGTGCAATACCATCATTAAATATCTCATTTTCAAGACTGGTCTCTAACTTAAGATTATCACCTAATCTTCACTTTATTGGCATTAGACAATCCACACAAGAATTTTTTAAATGATTTTGCGTCTATGTTCCATTATTTCAATATATCAAGTATGAATCAACTCGATCCTTTACAATGAAAAATTTAATTCATGTTTGCAAAGAATATTAAGCCCTTTTTTGATATCCATTATAAAGAGAATTTTTGGTAAAATGTATTATAGAATAGTAATTTTTGGGAGAATATGTGATTAAAAAAGAATGAAATTTTTTTATTGACATGTAATATTATTTTATTTAAAAACGTATAGTTGAAAAGAAAAAAGAGAAAAATACATTAAAATTTTAAAGGGTGTCAAAGAAAGGCTAAATTCTACATAGATAAGTATAAATTAACTTAAGCATGAAATATATTTATAATTTACAGACTAACACATGGTTTTGAAATATATACATCATAGTCGACAAAGCCACCTAACCACGTCAACAAGCAAACTAAACAAAAAAATCTTCAAAATTTTCTATGTCATCGTTGATTTGTGTGTTTAGATGTCATGTTCCTATAATATGTATTGTGCTAAAACATTTCACAACCCAATAAAGAAATCTAGGGATAAAGGGGAGAAGGAACATGGGACGACAACTTCCTATTACGGTCGTCGGTAGTTGCCACACGCAGGGGATGCATTCTAACTACTTGTATGCAAAAGCAAATAAATTACCTAACTTATTATTTAAAAAGTATAATAAATAAAAAGGAAGAAAATTGTGTTATCTCCTAATAAGCACTTATTTATAATCTTTAGCTTGACTTTATTACTCTGACTATTTATGATGGCTTGAAAATGAAATTTTCAGCCTTACAACGGTTGCACTTCCAAATGTTTCCTTCTTCACTTTTGGCCCTCCAAATTTAAGTTTCCGAACTGGTCCTTAATTGCTCCAACCAATCCACAAACTTTTTTTGTACCAATGATATGCATAATCATCCTTCTATTCATGATCAATCATTTTGTATTCCTTGAGGTTAGCAGGTTGATTGGGTAGAGAACTGTTGGTTAAATTTTATTGTTTGTCTTTTCACACTTAAGATGAGCTCATCCGTTTTTCAAAATTCATCAATGTACGCTGATCGATAGATTTGGATTGGTCTTAACTTTCTGTTGAAACCACTCAAGAACGAACTTGTTATAGAAGCATGAAAGATTTATGAGCTTCATGTTGATGCCATACCATGCATCACCATATATTCATCTACCTTTTGTTATATGCCCTCATATGAGCCCCAATTTTGTATGAAAATGTGTTTTAAAATAGTGATTTTTTGAAGATGTGTAGTTAAAAAATAAGGAAAAAAAATTTAATTTACATGCAAAATTATTTTATAAAAGAATGTGTGGTTAAAAATGAATTTTGAAAAATTGGGAGTCAAACGTAGGCTATGTAGTATTTTATTTAGCTAAACTTTTTTTTAGTTTCATGTGAATGGTTCTTTTGCTATATATTGCTTGTTTGTTCTGCACGTTTGGAGTGGTGTTCATAAGTATAATAAGTACGATGAAATCTATTTTAAGCAAAATGAATATGACAAATTACTGAAATCTCATTTATGTTTAAAGTTATGTGAAAAAAAAGGGTAAGATAAAATGTTAATTTCCTATAGCGAAACAAAAAAGTGAGTCCAAAAGGTACAAAACCGTGTTTAGGCTTATTTACGAGGGATTGACTTGGAAAAAAAAACTACTACTTTTTTAAGAAAAGTAGTTTTATTTCGTACTACTGGTGTTAATATATCAATTTGGATGACACTAATAAGACATTAAATTAGAGAAATAATTAAATAAATCACTCAATTCTACATTTCATTAAGTCTATCACTTAGCTCACCAAAAGTGATATTGTAGCACAAGTAGTGCTAGATAACATTATTTTTTTAAGAAATGCATGTATCGGTTTTCAGATTCTTAATGGTTTTGTTAGAGAAGGAACTTCTTGATTTTTTTCTGTCAACAAAGATTTGTATTAGAGGTGTAAAGCACGTCGTCTTGTGGGCCAACCTATAAGAGTGTGGTGTATAGGTGGCCTACCAATTTACAAAACTAACTACATTTCATTTGGTTAAAAGTCGAGTATTTATTGATCTATTGACCACATTTTTATTGAATATTCATGTGATTGCAAAATCAAAATGTTATCAATTTTAGCAATTTATAGACTTTATGTTTTTCTGAATGAAGCTTGTGAGTGCAAATAAAATACTAAAATGTTAGAATTTTAGCAACTCCGAAGTTAAAAATAAAAAAATAATAAAGTCTTAAATGTTTGGATAAAGTTTTGTTATGCCTTCTTTTGAAAAAAAGAGAAATTTTGTTATGCCTACTTTCAATAGTATATACATTGATTTTTTTTTTTTTACCTGTCCTTCGAATCACTACTTAGAGTAAATTTACAATATTTTTCTTATTTTAAAGTTCATACTTTTTAAAATAATGAGTATCTTAAAGAGTGAGTTTTTCACCAATATATTGTATTGTTAAATCAAATGTTATTTTTACTTTTGTCACATACGTGATAAGAGACATTCAAGTGAGAGAAAACTTTTTCATCGTCGAAATTTTCATTCGTGTTATTTTCTTTAATTTTCTTTTCTTTTAATATTATTATAATCTTAAGAATAAAATAATTTTAAATGATAATTTTTTTCAATATACAACACTAATAAATTTTTTAATTTAGAATAAATGCTTGTGTGAAAGTTATTTTTTTAAAAGGATTAATAGTAGAATACCCCTTGTAAACGTTTCAATGTGCGATATACCTCCTATCTATTAGAAATCGTAGAAAATCCCCTTATTTCAAACGTTTTGTGCAAAAAACAACAACCCTGCCATGAACATCCGTTTGATTTGACGTTAAATCCCAGGAAAAAGGGGAAAATGCATAAAGAAAGAAGTGCAAATGCGTCAATTCATATTTTCATCTTTAATAACACACATAACATCAATATTTTCTTTATTTCCCTCACTTCATTACCTGACATGACTTCGTATCTTTCATATGTAGCTGCAACCACTTAGTCCTTAGCTCCGATGAACTCTCGTCTATGCAGATGCGGAATGGAGATTGAGCAGAAGACTTTGTGGATGGCAGAGAACGTGGGAAGAAGGTTCTTCACATGCATACAAGGGCTGATAATGGAAACTCGAACATAATTTTCAAACCATTATTGAGTATGCTCAAGCTCTTATCTTTTTTTATTTTCTACAGCAAAATGGAGTTGTGGCTATTTCTCATGGTTTGACCTACCTATGTGTAGTATATTTGTGGAGATCATGGCTAGGCTATTGAAATCCATAAATGCACTTGAACAACAGTTGTTGGAACTGTAGAGGTAAAACTGTGATTTTAGCTTTAGGTCTTGGGTTTTGGATTTTTGTGTGGTGTGTAGTGATGTGGATTTTTGGCGGAAAATAAAGTTTCGATTGCTTTGTAAATGTATGTACTGAATGGATGTTAGTGAATATTGTGCTTTTGTGTTCAAATTCTATAAGTTAGATGTTTAACTTGGTGTTCCAATTTTCTTCTCTATTTTATTTTCTCTTGTATAGTTGTTCATCGGTAATGACTGCGTAACACATCATTTGATCTAAATTGGTTGCACCCCTTCCAAAACATTTAATAGGTTTCATA